AGAGTGTGGCATACAATACCTCTAAGCCTACAATTTAGGAGCTTGAGGTGTACTATCACTACCAGCGCCTAGCACTCATATCATTTTCGTGAACTTCTTGGAATGATTGCCAAAGTTTGAAAGTTTGATGATTATCTATTTGTGGTCATGAATTGCCTCACTTGAAAACCATTGTCGGGGCTTTTCGAAGTTTAGAACTATTACAAAAATAATAATAATAAATAAAATAAAAAAGCAGTAGCATGGGAGAATGATTAAATTCTATTAGTCTTTTTTTTATCATTATTTCCAGTTATATTCTCTTTGTCTGATAAATTCAATTGAAAATTATGAGCAAATAGTAAATTCCCTTATTGCAAATAGATCCACATTTAAATTGGTTTGATGTTAGCTGGTAATGCACTTCTAGTGAGCCAAGTGAATGGAGGACATTTAATGCTTTTAATTTCAATTGACACACATTCAATCAAATAAATCAAAGGAACATGGAACACCCAATTTTTTCAATGGAAAATTTTAGAAAGGGAAAAATTTTAAGGCCTAGCCCAATAAAAAAATCTTCATTGATTGGCTACATTTCCTTGAAAATAGAGAATTACCCGTGTAAAGTTAATACCTTTTTTCTAGGGATGAAGTTCCTTGCTTGTGTTGATGCGGAGAGTTTAGAGGTGTTAATGTTGATTATGATATAGGGCAATCAAAGATGAGTGATTTAGGGATCAAATCAAGGGGTGATTAATTAGACGATTTATCTGAACTTTATAATCACGAGTTAGGCATCACATTATGAGGCCATTAAATGGATTAAGATCTTTGAAGTTTTGACAATCTAAAATATGTGCGAAGAATGCAAATGGGGGTGATTCCCAGATGTATCATTGAAATTGAAGATTTAGTCAACAACAATCAACATGTGAAGGCGGATATTTGATACTTAATGATCAAGATTGGCAGGTTTTCAATTCGATGATGATCTCGAGGATGATAAGATAGGCATATTTGGCTTGCCTAGGAAACATTGTCTGTTCGATTGACTCCAGAAATGATATTTAAATTTGCTTTGGAGTATTTGATTCAAGAGGCTTGCTTCTTTCTTTTTTTTTTTTGATAGATTTTATGAAGAATGAGAATAAATTTAAATTAAATCATGCTATCATTTTCCTATAAGTAGGTATATTACTGAATTTAGCCGATCTTCTCCCGAATCCCTAACTTTTTGTATGCCTTATAGTCACCATCCCCTATTAGAATCAAAATAACCACTACAATTCTTACCACCCTCCAAAACTTTTATTATTGCTCCTCTTTTGCCCTTGCAATCACCAATTTGGAAGACCTCCACTTGTTATTTGTAACTTGTGGGAAGGAAAAATAAAGAACTTACTGTGAATAAGTGATTACTGGTCTTGAGAGGAACTCAATCTCATGGAGGGAACTTTTGCATTGCAAGAACAAGTCAAAGCTTGAGAGATGCTCTAACAAATAATAATAATAAATTACTTGATTGGTGTATTAGTATTGTGATTCATAGAGCATTGTGGTTCCTTCAAAAATATTTTATTACATCTATGAATTCATTCTAATCTCTCATTGTTGACACAATTCATGACATTAAGAGATTAGCATCCGATCAAGTTAGTATCAGAGTTTTGATCCTTAGCGCACGTTACAAATAAATAAAGAATATAAAGTTACTAGAAAACAACTTCTTATTTTAAACACTCTCAGAAAGCCAGTAAACGAGAGGAAGAAATTAGAAATCAATGATTTGGAATAAAACCTCTCACAACATTACCTAAAGAGTCAGTACATTGATCAATGAAATAACTATTATGATTAAGTGTATGAAGATTGAATCTTTATCGTCTTGCACCAAACTCTATTATCCAAAACCACATTGTCTCTTTTCTTCCCTCAACTACAACAATTACACATCAAGAAAATATTGCTAGCACAGCCAGTGATGAGTTGGATTAGAATGCTATTGTTATAAATGGTGTGATATGAGACTTAAATACATGGTTTGACCAATTTGAGATTTTTTTCACATTATTCGAGTTTGGAACTCATGTTAAGGTTGTGATTACTTGAGTAATCATCACACTTTGGCTTAGTGTAGTGCTCATGATTAGTCATCAAGAGATAGCATGTCGACTTTTTAAATGATTGGTTTTTCATGAATACTATTGCATCTATATTATGTGGAAGATCAATAGAACAAGTGCTACGATCTAAGGAAAAACAAGGGATAACGTGTGTAAGAGTACACGATGGAGTTCAGATGACAAACAATTTCCTTGAGAATAAATCCTGATGGTGTGCAGATGTTGAGAAAGCATGCCTTTAGGTTTTACTCAAAAATTGTAATTGAATTTCATTTTTTTTTTTTATCTTAGATATTAGTTAGATTAGCCAAGGGATAACGTGTGTAAGAGTACACGATGGAGTTAGTTAGATTAGCATGATGATGATGATGATGATGATGGTGACGACTATAGAATGAAAAACTAAGATAAGAGGGAGAAGACTTAAGAAGCATCCAAAAGAAAACTTTGTTCTTCAAAAGCAAGGAGAAAAGTATAGGGAGCTCCAAAAATTGCCCTATCTTCCTAGCGCCATTCTCTTTGGAAAGTTTTGTGACCATTATCAAGTTTCTAATCTCATAAAAGAGAAATATTGGAAGTTACTACTACAAATTGTTTGAGAAGTATAATAAGAATAGGCTGGAAAATTAATTGCTGCAATAGTGAAGAAAATCATGTTGAGCTCTCTATTTATGACGTCGAAGGATACAACTGCGAATCTTATTCCTTCTAATTTGGTGCATAAAATAGAGTTAGACACGATACTACATTTAGGCTCATATCTATTTGTTAGATTTTAAAGGGCTTAGAAATTCAGATGATCGATAATTCCAGCTGGAATTTGTGAAAATAAAGGACTATGTCATTGAGATGTGCGAGGTAGCACCATTGGCATCAATCAAACCCTCCAATGCCAATGTTAAATGATATAGCAATCACATAGGGCTTTTAAAGCAACAGCTATATCAATCAATAATCCCGTGTAAGTGTAATAGATAAGAAGAATCCATTTTTCTCTTTGATTACAATGTTAAAAGATTTAGTGATGATGTTGCCCTCCAATGTAAATATACATGAGGAATTGTTCATTTAAAGAATGCATGTCAAATTAGTGCTGATTTCATGCCACCGTTGGCAATGATAGCCAAAATAACCTCATTTTTGTTATTAGTGCCTAAATTGTGCCTGGACACCTTATCCTTTGCAATACATTGACGTTCTATCGGATCAATTGAAGCTTGCTACAATCTTCTTCAAATTGGCTATCCAATTTTTGTATTTTGAAGTGTGGATCAATCGACAAAGAAGACATTGTTCACGACAAGGCAAGGGCTACAAAAATGGCTAGTTTTGCCATTTGGATTGTGCAATGTCTATTCTATATGTGGCTGGTAAATGATGCTTTTCTCAATTATTTTGTTGTCATTTATTGGGATGATATTCTAATCTTCAACAAGCTATAGGACTACCTTTTAGTGCACAAGAAGTTGTTAAAACTGTTGCACAATAACGTTAACTCTAGCACAATTAGACAATTTTGCAAAGATTCTTTCTTCTAGCAAGATTCCTTAGCCAAAAACAAGTGATATGTGAAGGCGGATCTTTGATACGTAATGATAAAAATTGGTAGATTTTCAATTAGATGCTGATCTTGAGGATGATAGGATAGGCATAATTTGCTTGCTTAGGAGACCTTGTCGGGTCGATTAGCTCTAGATATGGTTTATTTAAATTTGCTTTGGAGTATTTGATTCAAGAGGCTTGCTTCTTTCATTTCCTTTTTAATATAGTTTATGAAAAATAAGAATAAATTTAAATTACTATGATTTGCCTATAAATAGGCATATTACTAAATTTAGCGAATCTTCTCCCAAATACTTATGTTTCTGCTTGCCTTCTAGTCGCCACCCCCTCTACTAGAATCAAAATAACCACTACAATTCTTACCACCCTCCAAAAACTATTATTATTGTTCCTCTTTGCCCATCACAATCACCATTTTGGAAGATATTTAGTTGTTACTTGAAACTTGTAGGAAGGAAAAATAGTAAACTTACTCTTTCTAGCAAATTTGAAGAAGCAATTACTATTTTTGTCTTGAGAAGAAGTAAGACTCGTGGAGGGAACTTTTGCATAGCAAGAACAAGTCAAAGCATGAGAGATCTAATAAATAATAAAAAAAAACTTAATTGTTGTATTAGTAATTTGATTCATTGAGCATCATGGTTCATGCAAAAGTATTCTCTTACATCTTCAAATTCATTCTAACTTCTCATTGTTACAATTCATACCATTAGGAGATAAGCATCTGATCAAGTTAGTATTAGAGCATTGATCTTTAGTGCACATTACAAAGAAATAAAAAATATCAAGTTACTGAAGAATAACTACTTATTTTAAACACTCTAAGAAAGCTAAGAAAAAATGAGAGGAAGGGATCAGAAATCAAATCATTTAGAATAAAACTGATTACAACACTGCCTAAATAGTCGATGCATTGGTGTACGAAATAACTATCGGGATTAAGTGGATAAAGATCGAGTCTTTATCCTGTTGCACAAAATTCTACTATCCCAACCACATTGCCTCTTCTCTTCCCTCAACTGCAACAATTGTACATCAAGAAAATATTGCTCAAGTTGTAGGTGATGAGTTGGATTCGAGTGCTATTGTCATAAATGAAATCGAATGTGAGAAATCTCAATGATGATTAGATGATATAATAATTAAATGCATAGTTTGACCAACTTGAGACTAATTTCACATTGTGCTAGTTTGAAACTCATGTTAAGGTTTCCTATTACGGAAGTAGCCATCATGCTTTGGCTTTACAGGGTGCTCATCTGAAATAATTTGATCATCATGAGATAGCCTGTTGACTTTTTAAGTGGTTGGTTCATCATGAATTCTATTGCATTTATATTATGTGGAAGATTACTAGAACAAGTGACACAATTTGAGGCAAATCAAGGGATAATGTGTAAGCGTACATGATGGAGTTCAAATTACGAACAATCACCTTGAGAATAAATCCTGATGTTGCAAATGTTGAGAAAGTGTGCCTCTAAGTTTTACTCAAAATTTGCAATTGAATTCCCTCTTTTTTTCCTTAAATATTAGTTAGACCAGCATGGTGATGATGATGACTATAGGCTGAAAACTTATTTAGGAGGGAGAAGACTTAAGAAGCATCTAAGAGAAGACTTTGTTCTTCAAATGAAGGAGAAGAGTATAGGGAGCTATAAAAATTGCCCATTTTCCTAGCATCATTCCCTCTCGAAAGTTTTGTGACCATTATCAAATATCTAGTCTCATGAAAGAGAAATATTGGAAGTTACACTACAAGTTATTAGAGATGTGTAATGAGAATAGGTAGGAAAATCAATTGTTGCAATAGTGAAGAAAATCGTGTTGGGCTCTCTATTTTTGTTGCTGAAGGATATGACTGCTGACCTTATTTCTTCTAGTTTGGTGCATAAAATGGGGTTATACACAGTACCCCATATCTATTTGTTAGACTTAAAAGGGCTTAGAAATTAAGATTGATCCCAACTCGAATTGTGCTAATAAAGGACTGTCATTGAGATGTGTGAGGTAGCACCATTGGCATCAATCAAACCCTCCAATGTCAAAGTTAAATGATATAACAATCACGTAGGGCCTTTAAAGCAACTGCTAATAGCAATCGATAACCCTGTGTAAGTGTAGTAGATAAGAAGAATCAATTTTTCTCTTTGATGACAGTGTTAAAGGATGTAGCGATGATGTTGTCCTCGAATGTAAATATACACGAGGAATTGTTTAATTCAGGAATACATGTCAAATAAGTGCTGATTCATGCCATCATTGGCAATGATGCCCAAAATAACCTCATTTTTATCAATTTAGTACCTAAAGTGGGGTTGGACACTTTATCCTTTGCAACTACTGTTGGTTTGATTAAATTCCTTTGCCAAAAAATGACATTCCATTGGATCGATTGAAGCTTGCTGCAAACTTCTTCAAATTGGATATAAAATTTGTGTATTTTGAAGTGTGCATCAATGGCCAATGCGCTTAGAATACAATGTTCAAGGCAAGCCAAGGGTTACATGAATGGCTGATCATGCCATTTGGATTATGCAATTTGCTTTCTACCTTTATGTTATTGGTAAATGGTGCCTTCTCAAAGATGTTTTCATTTATTAGATTGATATTCTAGTCTTTAACAAGTTATATAACTACCTTTTAGACCACGGGGAAGTTGTTCAAACCGTCACACAATAACATCGTCTCTAGCTCCATTAGAAGTGCAATTTTGCAGAGCGTGTTTTTTGTACTTGAATCATTTGATGTGAATGATGGAGAGATCAAGATTGTCCCCAATAAATTTAAGGTGATTAAGGGTTTCCATGATTTTGCATACAATTACTAGTACAAGGAGCTTTATGTGGCTTTCCAGTTCATTTGTAACTCTATCTGCCATTTTTTTGGTATTTTAGCTTCTACACCACAGGCACTCACCAGAGGAAATTCAAAATTTTAATGGTTAAGTGTCTCTTGTTGGACAATGCAAATAATGCAACTCTGTTTGCCATTTTTTTACTTTCTTCTCCATCACATCTCTTATTTTAAAGTTGTGGTGGCATTTACATACATACCACTCAATTCTTATATTTTTACATATTGAACATGTAAACTTTAATTTTCACATTTATACCGTCCAAATCTTTCACATCACATTAAAAAATACTACACCTTTTCTTGCATAGGTAAGGGGGCACATATATGTAAAAATTAAAGTTTAGGTGTTAGATATGAAAATACATAAGAGTTGAGTGGTGTGCATGTAAATCTTCCAATAATATCTTGTGCATGTTGAACCCGCTATCATACCTTACAATGTGAGACAATTATGCATACTTAATGCAATTGCTCCAGTAAATTGGATGCAGAGGAACTAGTAATTTCATCTGGATATTTATCCTGTAATTTTACTCCTCAGTGAAGTATCTTATTTCACAATTTGAAATATAAGCAATTTTGCTGTGAATATTTAACAATGTGGCATTGCTATGATAAATATTTATTGAAATGACATCATTTGTTACTAATTTTTTTTTCTTGGGGCCCTTTTTATAGAAACAGAAGGCCAATGAAACAACACTAGGCGTTGAAGCTGGAAATGAACTGCAATCTCGAGTTATGAGGCAGTTTCCACAGAACAGACCTTTCTTTGAAGATAGTGCTAAACGAAAGAGTCTCCTCTCCACAGATTTGTTGGCAGGGGTAGGCCATCTAAGACACAAATTGGGCTCAAGGATAGAGTATATTAAATTGTCAAAAATAGTCCCTTGATTATTTAAATGAGGTTATTTTAGTCCCAAATTATTAAATTAGTCCCGAGATTATTTTAATCATAGTGAAATAATAGTCTTCATTGGGGACTATTTCAACCTATATTTAAAGTCCGGGGATTGAATTGATATTTTCTGTAAACTCTGGGACTAAAATGACCTCCTACAAAGAGCCGGGGGGATTATTTTAACACTTTCTCATTAATAATATTTTGCTTAAATTATTTTCTTTTGGGGGAATAATTTTAAAATTATTGAATTTGCTTTGAGATCCGTGTTGAAGAAGATTGATGATGAGTCAACTCTTGTATTGCACTCATCTCAAAGAAAATTCAAGTCTTTTAAATATTTTTCATTTTTATTCTAATAATATACTTAATATATATATATATATATATATTTTTTATCCCTAAAGTTTTATTTATTTATTATTATTATGCAGGTTTTTACTCGCAGTACATTACCTGGTGGTGAACTACAGTGACTACAGAGAGCCCTTCAAGAGGCCTCTTCAGAATTAAGGGTGAGATGTGTTATTGAAAAGAACTTCATTGATTATTTGTTTTTTTATTTTAAGTTTGATGACATAATCTATTCTTTCGTGAATGAATGCTATAAGAATTTTTTGTTGCACAGGATGCTAATTACTTAACCTTTTACATGCATACCATCCATTTCCTATGTATTTACATTTCTAACCCATAAACTATCTTTTATATTTATCCCACCCAAATCTTTCATATCACACAAAAAACATCACCATTTTTTAACTTTTGAAAAGTGAAATGCATATTTTTGTGCATTTGGTAAGGTGGGCATGTGCCAAAAAATTGAAGTTTAGGTTTAGAATGTAAATGCATAGAAGTTGTGAGTGGTTTTTATTTAAATCTTCCTTTTTTTTTTTTTTCTTGTTTAATCACCCTGAACTGAACCATACCATTGGCTTTGTTCCATTATTTTTATTTCATCGGTCATTGTAAAGCCAAATTTATCTAAAAAAATTGTGTAAAGGGCATGTTATGTATGTTGGGCTGTCAAAACGGCTCGTTCATGAACAGCTCGTGTTCGAGCTCGTTAAGAAGCTCGTGTTCGGCTTGTTAATTTCGCTCGATAAGTTAACGAGCCGAACATGAACTAAGATGTGTTC